TTTTTTCATTTAGAAGGATTTTTTTTTTTTTTTACAGGAAAGAAAAGATGTTCTGATTATTGTTGAGCTGCAGGTTTAGGCTCACTTAAGTGACCGCACTTAATTTAATTAAGAAGAATTAAATTATTTATTTGAATTATTTAGCCTGACATGTTTACTGTTCCAAAATGTTCTCTGTTTCTTAAAAATAAAATGTATTGTGTTCAGTGGAAAATTAAGTTATTGTTTTTAACCCAGACATTTAAAAATAACATATTTTAGAGCTGTAATCGCAAAATACTGTGATACCGAATAATCGTGATAACGTGAAACCGTGATATTTTTTTTATCTAAGGTTATGATACCGTCAGAATCTCATACCGGCCCATGCCTAGTCTGGAGTGGCCTGTAGTCTGGCAGTGGGTGCAGATCATATGGTCTCAAATTGGACATAACATTTTCCAATTTGGTAAAGATTATTTGTGACCCTGGAGCACAAAAGCAGTCTTAAGTCGCTGGGGTATATTTGTAGCAATAGCCAAAAATACATGGTATGGGTCAAAATTATTGATTTTTCTTTTATGCCAAAAATCATTAGGATATTAAGTAAAGATCATGTTCCATGAAGATATTTTGTAAATCTCCTACCGTAAATATATCAAAACTTAATTTCTGATTAGTAATATGCATTGCTAAGAACTTCATTTGGACAACTTTAAAGATGATTTTCTCAATATTTAGATTTTTTTGCACCCTCAGATTCCAGATTTTCAAATAGTTGTATCTCGGCCAAATTTTGTCCTATCCTAACAAACCATACATCAATGGAAAGATTATTTATTCAGCTTTCAGAAGATGTATAAATCTCAATTTCGAAAAATTTACCCTTATGACTGGTTTTGTGGTCCAGGGTCACATTTGTGCTATACTAAAGCAGGAAAAAGCATTTTGCAAGAGAACGCATCCTACCCTCTGACGCTGCCTGTCCTCCATGGCTGTATTGCTCCGTGTAGTATTCCTCTTGACCAGGATATTGCTGAGGAGGTCCTAAAAACACACAAAACAGACATGAGTGAATCAAAGCAAACACTGAGTGAATCAATATTTTAGCAAGAGATTTCAGCGTACCTTGATGTGGCGGCCTGTAGGGGGGCATGGGTCTCTGTCCGATCACGTGATTGCCTTGACCCATCATGCCCATGGGGTTCTGCTGCCCCTGGTAATGCTGCCCACTGCCACCAGAAGGGGGCATGTTGTACTGTTGGGAAGAAGCCTGCTGGTGCATCATAGGTCCTAGAGCAAAACACAAGCACTCATAACGAACCGTTTATCATTATGTGGTTGATATTATTATTAAAGCATTGCTTTGAGACGAGAGGGCAACAGTACCCTGATTGGGCTGCATGGTCATGTTGGGCCGAGGGCCGTAACTGCCCATGGGCTGCCCCTGGCTCATGTTTATTTGCCCCTGTGACTGTATTCCCTGCGAGGAGGGCACTGTGTGGTTATACGCCCCCATGGAGCCGTGGCTGCTGGGTGGCATGTTCATGGAGCCGCTGGGTATGCTGGGAGTCTGATTGGGCCCGGGGCCCTGCATGGACATGTGGTTTGGACCTGCAGAAGCACACAGTGATCAACAAAACAAACCCCTTCGCAATTAATGTGAAACATAACAAAAATAAAATCCTTTAAGCATTCAAAAAATCACATGAAGCACATGACCAATAGCAAACAATGAGAAGATAACATGTAAACATGTTAGATGCTTCACAAAAACATTTGATTTAAAATGGTTATTATATCTTTTGCTTTAGTGTGCCAGTAAGAAAATACATTTTATAGGGGTGGGAATGTTTAGGCACCTCACAATCCAATCTGATTCCAAAACTATTTTGTGAACTAAATTTTTTTCTTATTAATGAGTTTACATTAGCAGAAAAAAAGGTACTGTGAAGATAAAATTGTGTTCCTAGGGGAACAAAACATAACTATATTTTTAAAGGTCCACAATAGGTCCTAAGGGTGCAATTATGTACCTAAAACAAGTTATGAAAGTACAACTCAGATGTGAAAGATAAATTTTTGTACCTTTGAAACTTTTTAAGTTTAGGCCCAACTACAATACTTTGTGTGTTTTAAAAAAATTTTTTATTCAATGTCAGCTCATGATATTATCAAGAAACTGCATTAAACTGCTTTAAATGTTAAAAATATATCTTCTCAAAGTGTGTACGAAAGCCTAATACAACCACTTTATGTCTCCTGCCTGTAAAATAGGACAGACATTACTTACAAACATCATATGTTAGTTAATGTATTAAATTTAATATTTTACAAATTGTTAATGTTTTTGTTATAATGTTATATTATAATTTTGTCAAAAAACGTTATTAAATGTTATTTTTTTATTATTATAACTTTTGACCCTTGCACCATTTTTGTATTTTTAAATGTATTTATTTTTTTAAAAACAGAATAGCGATACATCAGAGAACTGATTTTTTTCTCCCACCACTACAATTTTAAATAACATTCTGATCTTACCATAATCAAAAAAGTAAAAAAAAAAAAAAAAAAAAGGCACCACCTCCAAGATGCTTGGAACAAACTACCTGCAAACTGTGAGCAAGTCCACCTAGAAATAAGCCGTTTTAAAGCCAAATATTGATTTGATTTTGTTAATTTTGTTTGTTTTTTAAGTTAATTGATAAATAAAAACTACATGGTTTTTATTTTTGAAAACATTCACACTTGACAGCATTTTTCCACAAGTGTGCCTCAGTTCTTCTATGGATTTAGGTTTCCTCAGTCGCTGGTTCTCAGAGTTTGTCAGTGAGTGCACTGCTGTGAATGTACCTGGCATCTGTCCGTTCATCTGGCTCTGCATGTGTGCTGCGGGCGGCCCGTCTGACGGCATACTGTGACCGTGGGGGAGCTGTGGAGTCGCTCCACTCGGATTCATGGCCATGTTCTGTGAGGGTGGCTATTGAGAAACACAGAGAGACACCTACTTCAAATTCAATTCAAACCAGTGCTGTGACACATCATACAGCACATATCAACTATGCAAAATGAATATAAATATATAATTGTTTGTTACCATTTTAATATACCATAGCTAAAGCCATTCAGCCCGTGTCAGATGGGAAGCTGGGAATAAATACTCACCGCGGGCAGCAGAGACTGCATGTTCTGATTGGAGTCTGCTATTGTGGCCAGATACACTAGATTTCTGTGTAGCATCTGTTGGTAGCTGCAAGACAGCAATGAGAAACGTGCTTTGATCACTGACTGAATTAGGAAAAGAATAATGCAGCATCCTACAATATTTGAGAATGTAAATGTGCAATGTAAGCACTACCTTTAAGGTACCCAAGATTTGCCTTAACCCTTGTGCATCCCTTAGGAGGGACTATTTTTTTTACATTCAAGCTATTAATGCAAACAGCATACATTTTGCCCAAATGTGTATTTTTTTATTGGAATTCCAATATTTCACCCTCATTTCCTTTCATAGATCTATTTTACACGAGGTAAAAAAAATAGCTACACTCAGGACCTTAAGGACAAACATTTTAAATATAATATATATATATATATACTAGGCTTGCCGCGATAGACGGTGCTGACGGTGATACCGTTAAGATTTTTTTTATAGTAATAAAAATCATTTAGTTCAGTAAAAGAACAGACACTACAATTAAAAACTGAACGCGGCTGCTCAATGCAGCGTGCCGAAAATTCGAAAGTGAAAGTAAAATGCGCACGGTGCTTTTAAGCAATTTAAAAGCGAAGGAAAGCGAGGAAAAGAGGGAACGCTAGGGCTGTCGCGGTGAGGGAATTTCCCTTGCGGTAATTTTGAGTGGCTCAATAGCGGCTATATTTTTATATTTTAAAGTTTCTTTTTTTAACATTAGTAAACTGTGAAATAACTTTAATGATCAATATAATAATTAATATTAATATGTTTATTCATTTACCAGCACTAGCATGAAGTGTAAAACGAGAAGGGTATAACCTTACCAAAAAAGAAAACACGCAAAAATCGCGTTTGCTGCGGTTCTTGCATTCCTCTGCAGTTTGCTCGTCAATAGCGCGGTATTGCGGTTATCACGACAGCCCTAGGGAACGCCCCCACAGTGATACCGGTATTATTGATGTTGTCACACGTCGATTAACCGGTGGGAAAATTTCCTCACCATCACAACCTTAATATATACATATACATATATATATATATATTTTTCATCTGATAGCACCAGTTTCGCAGTTTTGGCCTATGGAGCTAATACTCAACTTTTCATGTTTTCTGATTCTGCTGGAAAAATACTGCCAACTGAATTCAAATCACATAATTATTTACGGCATTTAGTATATGGAAAATAATAGATTTTTTGTGTTGTTGTTTTTTTCATAAAAAATACAACAGTGGCGTTATACATACAAACTATATATATATGTATATGTGTTTATATATATATGTGTGTGTGTTTTTGGACAGACATTTTTTGTCCTCTAAGGACCTCTTGTAATGTTTTTTTAAATTGTTGCACAAGGGTTAAGACTCAAACATCAAAGACTGTGCATATGCATGACTGATGTAACAGAACTTACTGTGAACATTCAGCTGTTTTTCCTTTACTCTGGAAGTCCATGATGCACTGAATCAACTGATTGTTTTCATCCAGTAACTGCAGATGAAATGTCACAAAGTTAATTAAACATTAAGATAGAAAATGAACAAAACAATGCGGGGAAAATGAGTAAAAGCCAAATCCTACATTTAATTTAATTAATTAAAAGCTTAGCTGATTAAATCAGACCTAAGTGATGGAAAACTGGGAAAAGAAGAGCAGCGCATCAAAAACACAACCAAAGAGGTCTATATAATAAATACATGGGGAAACTAAGCCGTTTACAATCTGAACTTGAATCAAACTGAACTGAAAAACTGAATTGCTGTTTTATGCATCAGTCAGGACAGTGGCATAGGATCATTATATCAATCATCACAATTTTGGGACTGATTTATGAAACATGTGCATGTGCAAATTCAGCAAGCGATAGTTTTTTGGTCAACAAGTGCAAGCAAATCATTTCTACATGCTGCTGAATGACACCTAAATTAACTTACAATACTAAATAATATATTAAATTAAAACCTAAACTTTAATTCAAGTAGCATGACGCGACAGCTCGATCGCTGCCATCAGAATCCACAAACTACTTTGGAAATGAGAAAAACGCCTAATGTGTGCAATGCTTTCACAGCTGTTCAGCAGCAGCTGAACTAAAACATTTCCTCAGGGAAAAAAAAAAATTACATGCCATTTCAGTTTTAGAGTAAAACACTGACAATTTTCATCAAGACAAAAAAATATTAAAACAAAAAAACTGTAAAAAAAAAAAAAAAAACTTGTGCATGCATGTGTTTATATCACATATACTGATTCAGAATTAGCTCCATGAACTGAACATATTATTTCAGATAAGGGAGACATACAACATGTGCAGTTTCCAGGACCAGGACTGAAAAGCAGTAATTTAGAGAGAGCAGCTAACAGAAAGACCACATGAAAAGCTTGTTTGGCTACGTTTTATATCGTCCTGGGACCCAGGCATAGATTCTGTCCTCTGTAGAAGACATTATATTTTAGTGAATTTCTCTGAAACCCTACATGCCACAGTGTTGAGTCTGGATGTCCTGTACAGAGCACACTCAGGGCTTTTTAGGAGGTCTGATCATAAACACACCTTCTCCTTGGTCTTTAAATGTAACTGATATCGACAGAATGGTCAAATTTAGCACTCTAAAGGAAAAATGATAATGTTTTGTAATTATTTAAATCTGACTAGTTTGACTAATTGTTTGTCGTAAAATAAACATCTTTTAAGGGGTTCAATTCGGAATATTACTTTTTGTTTTTACGAAACAGGGCATAAATGTCATACTTGTCTTCTGTAGAGGACACCAGGACAAACGGCATGTTAATCAGGCACAAGTCGTCAATAAAAAAATTATAGATTCAAGATTTTTTTTATTTGTCACATACATGGTTATATAGTTTAAAAAATATATATAAAATAGATCAATATTCCTATGAAATATGAGATATTCTTATGAAAATGTTGCCAAGTTATTACTCCCATTTTTACACTTCTTTTTTCATTATGTTTTGCACCAACAACACATTAACATGCAAATTAGATGCAGTCAGTAGATACATTGTATAGAAGGGGAATACCAATTTATGGATATTTTACGCACATATTCCATAAAGTACAGTAGTATATCAGATCATTCTGTTATATCTTTCATAACATAGTTGAGAACCATCTTTGTACAAAGTTTGGCTAAATAGCCTGAAACCTAAAAACTGATTGGTGAATGAAAAAATGAAATGTTGTTTTTGCCTATACATGCCTTTTCATGTCTGTTTTTTTTTAATAACAGTCCTGGCGTCCTCTACAAAGGACATAGAATAAAATATGAATTTATTTTTATTTTTTTTCTCAAAAATGTATTTTCTCCATTTGTTTCTTATGCTCCAACCAATGTAATGACATAAAAAAACAAGAAAATTCACAACACTTTTTATTCTGGTTCTCAGGAGGATTTATGATTGTGCGCTTCACTTTTACTTTTAATATTGTGGCACAAGCTAATATCGTCTAACAGTCCTGTTGTGGTCATATCTTTGTGTAAAGGCAATTCTAAATATAATAAACATGTAAATAATAATTATAATACACCTCTAATGGATTACACATCAACGGACGAGTAATAGAAAACCAAATAGCTTCACTGATCAAATCAGACGCGAGTCATTAAAACTGAAGCATAACGCTCGACTGATCAAATCATACATGAAGAATAAAAACCGATATTAGTAATAAATAATTGCTGGCACCGTTCTTTCCGTTTAAACGTTTACACTGCGATGCTTTCACACAATCCTCTATTGTGATTCATGAGAGAGCCGAGCGTGTAGCGTTAGCGGCTAACAAAGACACAGCGGTGCCCAGGAGATTTCAACGGCTTTAAAACGCTGGACAACGACTCGAAATCAGCTCCGCGTCCTGCTCGGGTTTAATTCGGTAGGAGCTGTTGAATCCTGTGACAAACACCTGTCTGAATTGTTCGTTTGTGGTGTTTTGAGTGCTGCGGCGGGAGAGATGTTACAGCTAACGTTAACTAGCCGAGTCCACTAACGCAAACGCACTTACCCTCGGTTTCATTCTGCTTGAAAAATGATTCAGTGAAATTACCTTTTGGATCCCCGCAGGCGTTATATCGCCCTTGGCGCGCTGCCGGTGCGGAGCGAAAGCCACAGACATTGTTAGTTTACCGTAATTTGAGATTAACGTTCAGTCAATACAAACACACCGACCGCGAACGGACGCGCTGAGCGGCGAAACCAGAACGATCCATTGCTCGCGGAACAGAGGGGGGCGTCGAGTCATTTCATCGGACTCAAAACAGAAAAACCGACAAGACTGAATAAAGAATCAAGACGTTTGAAATATAATTACGATATTAATTTATCCAAATCTTGGTATGTAAAGCACAATGTCACTATTAACACAAAATATTCGCGCTAGAATAGCACCGCCACTCCTCTGTTCAACAATAATGGTTTGTTCCAGAGGGTCACGGAGGGGGAATTCTAAACGCCGTTTACTTGGTTAAAATCAAGTTAAAATGCGATGTGCAGAACAGCACGATATACTCCTTGAATTTATATTTCCCATATCCATATGTGCAACATTTGGTGCAAAATGAACATTCTAATTCAGTTAGCCGATGTAATTTGCCATTTTACTGAACCAGTATTTACTAGCGTTTAATTTCGATTTAAACTGATGATATTATAAATAGCAACATTAAAAGCATTTCTATGTTTGCAATGTTTTGTGTGTGTGTTGTTTGTGCAGTATGAGAAGAGGAATTTTTACACTTCTTTTTTCATTATGTTTTGCACCAACAACACATTAACATGCAAATTAGATGCAGTGTATAGATACATTGTATAGAAGGGGAATACCAATTTATGGATATTTTACGCACATATTTCATAAAGTACAGTAGTATATCAAATCATTATTTTATATATTTCATTACATAGTTGAGAATCGTCTTTGTACAACGTTTGGCTAAAAATAGCCTGAAATCTAAAAACTGATTGGTGAATGAAAAAATAAAATTCCTTTGCACTGTCTTTAAAAAAAAGTCTTGTTTTCATTTTTCCAGTTTATTTCATTTTCAAGAATTGATTTTTTTTTTTTAATTAAGAGTTTTTATTGTTTTTTTTTGGAAGGCTGATGGGCAACAGAAGCACAACATTACAATAATTATACAGAGATAGCCTACACATTTCTAAATGCACATTTTGACCATGAAATAGAATTCAGTGCAAGACAGAACACAAACTAGTTGTCTATTAATTCTGAACCTTACTGTAATATATGTCCAGAACTCTTCTCAGGGAATCTCCTTTGCATTGTCTTAAAAAAAAAAAGTATTGTTTTCATTTTTCCAGTTTATTTCATTTTCAAGAATTTATTTATTTATTTATTTTTAATTAAGGGTATTTATTGCTTTTTTTGGAAGGCTGATGGGCAACAGAAGTACAACATTACAATAATTATACAGAGATAGCCTACACATTTCTAAATGCACATTTTGACCATGAAATAGAATTCAGTGCAAGACAGAACACAAAATAGTTGTCTATTAATTTTGAACCTTACTGTAATATATGTCCAGAACTCTTCTCAGGAAGACAACCCATCTTCTCTAACACCATTTATTTGATTAAGCATGGATTCATAAGATGCGATTTCTACCGTTGCATCGGCCCACTCTTTCAATCCTGGGGGTCTTCCAGTGTCTCAAAATAATCCTACTTGCCATTGTAATACATACAATAATAACAGAAAATACATGCTTTGAAACATTAGGTAGGCCTATTTGAGATCTGTCACCTAGTAAACACAATTTAGGGGTTAAAGATATTTCAGAGCCATAGATATCAGCAATTTATGACATCCATAATCTGTTTCCAGTATGGCTTAACAAGACTACATTCCCAAATACAATGTAAAAAGGTACCCGTTTCCGACTGGCATTTCCAACATAGATTGTCTTTCATTGGTTTCATTCTGTAAAGTCTTACCGGAGAGTGGTAATATCTGTGAAGAATCTTATATTGAGTGAACCTCCCCCTTGCTTCTTTAATATATTTACCACACCCTGGTTTGATTTGACAAGAGATTCCAGCTGCTATGGCATGGATATGCAACTTACATGTTAGGCTGCGCTTATCACAGTAGTTACAGTTTACCTGTCATATGTAAGACTAGTCAAAATAACTACTGTATATTTCAACAACAACAACAATAATAAGAGATCTGACCATCACACCATTTTTGGTGAAGCATCTTATGTGACTTTTATACAGCATAAGAGAGCGAGAGAGAGAGAGAGAGTCAAAGATACATTGTTAGATGCACTGGGATGCATCATCAGTGATGTTTGGGTTGATCGGGCTCCAACATCCCATCCACAACTGCCCATAGATCAGCCCTCTTGATTCAAGGCCACCCGGTGACTTTTTCTGGAGGCCGCTTTGCTCATAATGATTTTGCTATAACTGTTTTTGCAAAATATTTTGCTGAGCACTGCTAATATAGGGCTTGTTATGCTTGGAGGTTTGCAGTTCTTCCCTTCTAATAGCCACCCAATATCTTCAGGGTTCACCTGCTGTACTGTTTTTGATGATATTGCAATGCACTTCACAACACTGACAACACGGTTTTTAGCCCTTGTAGCCCTAGTGAAGCTGAACATGGAGTAACTCAATTGATGCCATGAGCCATAGAGAAAAATATAGTGTTTCTGCACCAACCTAGCAGCAGGTGGCGATAATGCACTTCAGTAATTTTTTTTTAACTGCTGCATTTATCAACTGTACATTCAGAATTGAGTTACCTACCATCTATCTACACTATGCTCTATATGTATGTATACTGTAGTATCCTGCAGTCACACAAATCAGTAGCCCTGTGTTACTCAGTGATTGTTTGTCAATGTTACTGTAAATAGTTTTGAATGCAGTGTTTGCTTTTGCTTTTGCTAGAGTTTCGTGTTTAGAGTTTTGGGACAATGTTTAAACTATTGGGGAAAACCTGTAAAACTCCACATGACACACAGAAGTTGTATCCGCCTATTGGCTCCACAAATGCATATGTCTTCTGATCTTGCACATAAAACAAATAAACACAATACAAGCAATGTGATTTTATTTCGTGCCATTACAGCTTTATATTTTAAAAATGTAACTTTATATCTCACAATTATTTCATAGTAGCAGTTTTCTTTCTTTTTTTCTTTCTTTCTTTCTTTCTTAATGGTTACAAACAAACTGATGA